AAAAAAAAAAAAAAAATTATTTGTGGTTCGAAACACGTTCGGAGTCAATCTGAGTACGCCTGGAAGTATATTTAACTTCTTCTAGGGTTAGTCTTATGTATCTTTTCATAGGTGTGTTATTTGATTCATAAGCTAACATCAATAACTTAGCAGGGATTTGGTATAACTTGCATGTATTCTACAAACTGCGGCACACACAGCCAAAGATGTTCAGCGTATGAAAAGAATACTTCGTTTGTTGAGTTTTGATTATGGAGTAGACAGAAAAGGTACCTGGCAAAAAGATGGTTCAAAGCGAGCCGCCACTCAAACGGGCCGAAGGCCCGTTTTCGGATAGAATACGTATTACACCATGAAAATTCAGAAGGGACGGGCCTTCGGCCCGTCTCAAACGCCGCCGGCAGGCCAAGCTGGGCCCGCTCCCTGCCGAACCGAGTTGCCGGTGGAGCGAAGCGGAGCTGGCAACTTGGTTTGGCGGAAGAGCGGGCCCATAAAACCACCTGTCTGTACCTATTGGATATGAAGTGAAGCTGGAGGTCCTGTTCCCTGACACTAGTGTATTGCCTACACCACTTGGTGTAATTTCATCTTCAGGTAAATGCCTCTTGAATAACAATTTGAACATTTTTCTTTGCTACCTTCATTACTGCTGCATATGAATCAAGTTAATTTCATTGCCATTTCATTGCAGATGCCTGCTTAAAATTGACTCTCAGTGATAACATTGGAATGGAATTCTTTACTAAAGCTCTACTGAACTGTCGACAGTTCTATGCTAGCAACAAGGTAGATGTACGACAGACCACGTCTCACGTAACAGGCTTCGCGATATCTCACGAACCACTGTTACGCTGCGACGCGCCTGGCATTCATCTACCTTGGCCTGCAGCGCTGACACCCGAGTCGGGTAGTGCAAAAATGTACACAAAGATACGGGCCTACGGCCCGTCAACGGCCCGTCACCTCGACTAAGCATACAGAGTTGTACTCTTTAGCAGATGATACCTTGAAACACTTTAAACTTAACTTAAAAATTATACATAAATATTAATATCAAGGTGTCAGCAGCTTGAACTCTCGATAGGGTAAAAGAGTGGAAGCAAACTAAAGGAGAAGAGACCTAGCGAAACCAGCAAACACAAACAACATCAACAATAATTTTGGGCGCTGGGGGACTGGCTGTCGGGCTGAAGCCTTTTGCTTTCGCGTTATCCCCTCCCGTCAACAATACTACACCAGGCAGGAGAGGCCCCATCCCTGCCCAACAATACTGAGCTACGCCGGCCGCTGTCCCCACCCCTTATCTTCCCCTTTACCGCCGAATTACAAGATTGCAAAGTAACAAGAAGCCATAAACAGCTAAATAGGAGAGAAAATTAAAACATAGACCTATTCTCAAATTTGTATCATCTGCTTTCAAGATTGATTCTTGATTTAGATTTTTCGCTTATTTTCGTCAAAACTACCATCTAGCGCCTCAACGGTTTGAGCTAGGGCAAAACGGACGAAATTTTCGCGCAAGGGCTCTACTTTGTTAAGTAACCTTGTAGAAAACCATAAAAAAAAAGATTTTTAAAAACCGTCATTTTTGAGACCTGTTGTTTTTGATTTTTTTTAAATCAAATTTTTAAGCTAAAATGCTTATCTTTGAACTCGATCTGTCTTTTTATGACACAAAACGACCGTGAAAATCCCAGGTCGCTCGCTCACTTTGTTTTCGAGTTTTCGTGCGGACAAATACACAGACAGACACACAGACAGACAGACAAAGTTTTTTCAGACCAGACGGAGTAGTAGGCTTCGCTAATCGCTCAGCCAATAATGTTGCCACTGGCAACACGCAAGTTTTAACAGAACTGACCACCAATAATGTAGAATCTGACTTGGTGGAAGTTGAGTCAAAGAGGAGACGAAAACTTCGTCCGTTTTGCTCTATCTCTAACCGTTTACGCGCTAGAGGGTCTTTTAAGACGACAATAAGCCAAAAATTGCCATAGTGAACAATAAGATGTAGAAAAAGGCTTAAAAACCACAAAATAGAAAGGGAACTCTCCCCCCACCCTCAACAAACGTTTTCTAAGCAGAAGGGTGGGTTGTAGTCGCGGTGCTTCACTGTTACATCCCTTTCTCGTGTCTACGGGGCAAACTCAAAGACGACGGGTTTCAGCGGGCCGAAGGCGCGCTACATCATTCGATCATGTTCTTCAGCAAATCGTGTGACAGAAATGGTCGGGTTGTAGTCACGGTGCGTCACCGTTACATTCCTTTCTCATGCGTCTAAGGGGCAAATTTTATATTATTTGATTTTCTATCTTGTTGACGAAAATTTTATATTATTTGATTTTCAGCTCC